TTGGCCTAGAAGGCCAGGTGCTAAAGAGGACCCAATTGAATCATCTAAACTCTAAAGAGGTTAATTAAGGATCCAATCGAAAGATGAAGAACTAAACATACTCTTTTTGGATTGAGAATGTAGTGGGCTTGAACTTTTTTTAAGGAGTGCAAGCCCAACGAGGTGGACATGACATAGGCTGAGCCGCTTAGGAAAAGAACAGGCTCATCTCATGGTCTGAAATTGAGCCAGGTTCTTGGGCCAATAAAGTTGGGCTGTAAGAGAGCGTGAATTCACGTGTCTGAGTAGAGCGTAAAAGTGTCAAAAAGGGATGATTTCATTTGTATGTTTTTTTCCCCTTGCAATGGCAACACAGCACTGGTCGAAACTTGAGAGAGAACTCAGGAGCGAAAGAAGAGAGAAAACAGCGATCAGATAGAGAGAGACCTGTTTCACAGACAATTCCATGTCTTCGATTCACTCCGTCCACTGAAAGCCGCCGACTTTTCTCCGACTGATTTCACAGATTTCCTGATTCCATGGGTGAGCAAACGCCATCCCAGCCCCAGACGCAGCCGCAACCCCAACCTCCACAATCCCAACTCCAACCGCATGGTCCGCAACCACAGCCTAAGGCTGATTCTGCTGCCACCACGCAGACGCAGACCCAAACCCAATCCGACAACCTGAAGGCCGGCGTCGCGGCGGCGACCTCCACTGAACCGAGCAATGTTACTCATTCAACTACCTCCACTCTCTCAAAAATCCCTCTACGACCTAGAAAAATTCGGAAACTTTCCCCTAACGAAGCAGACCCAAATTCCTCTCCACAAACGACGACCACGACTGCGATCGTCGCGGTCGAACCACCCAAAAGTAGTTCGAAGGGTAGCAAGACCAAACTCACCCAGCAGCGGGCGGTGGCGCCGCGCATCTTTGCCCGTTCGTTATCATGTGAAGGCGAGGTCGAGACTGCCATCTGTCATCTCCGAAACGTTGATCCCCTCCTCGCTAATCTCATCGACACTTACCCTCCCCCTAGTTTCGATACTTTCCACACCCCTTTTCTCGCCCTCACCCGCAGTATTCTTTACCAGCAACTGGCCTTCAAAGCCGGCACTTCCATCTACACCCGCTTCATCTCCCTCTGTGGTGGCGAATCCGGTGTCATTCCTGAAACCGTCCTTTCCCTGACCCCCCAACAGCTCCGCCAAATTGGGGTCTCTGGCCGCAAAGCCAGTTACCTTCACGATCTAGCGAGAAAGTACCAGAATGGGATTTTGTCAGACTCTGCAATTGTAAATATGGATGATAAGTCGCTATTTACAATGCTTACTATGGTTAACGGGATCGGTTCTTGGTCCGTCCATATGTTTATGATTTTCTCTTTGCACAGACCGGATGTTTTGCCAATTAATGACCTTGGTGTTCGAAAAGGGGTGCAATTTCTGTACAATTTGGAGGAGTTGCCGAGGCCCTCACAGATGGAGCAGTTGTGCGAGAAGTGGAGGCCATATAGGTCGGTCGCCTCATGGTATCTATGGAGATTTGTGGAGGCCAAGGGAGCTCCATCAAGTGCTGCAGCAGTTGCAGCTGGCGCTAGTCTGCCTCCACCACAGCAGGAGGAACAACAGCATCACCAACAACAGCCACAGCTTCTCGACCCCATTAATAGCATTCTCAACATTGGGTATGATCCTAATTGCTAATTCAGTTCCTTGTTTGGTTAAATGTCCAATTGATAGAGTGCTATTATTTTTGTGGTTCAAATTTGAACTTTTGCTTTAATCTTGCATCTCTAATATGCTATGCTTACTGATGTTCATTTCTTTCTGCATGTTAAGCTACAATCACTTATGCCATTGTGCATTTATCTTGTACCTTGGTGCTGTTGTTAGCATTGTTGTTTAAACTTCTTACTTCTCTTAATTCTGTAATAACATTGTGTTTTACAGCAGTTTCTCGCCCGAAGGTGCTTAGGTGCTGCTGTGCCCTATGAGTTATTCTTTGACTAGGATCACTAGTATTTAAAATAAAAAGATTCGTTTGGTGCTTATTATTGGCTTAGCTATCTACTGCTTTGCTTTCTATAGCTCTTGGCCATTTTTCTATTTTGTAGACTTCAGTTTCCTATTAGGAATTAGTTTACTTGGTTGGATAATGAATACCTGTGTTGCAGTGTGTAACTAATTTCATTTCAACATGTGAAACACATTTGAATTTACAATTGAATGTTAGATTAATCATAATATAGAAAGAAAGGGAAGAAAGCAGATTCTTCTTTCAAATTGAAGAGGGGAGGAGGATAAGGAAGATAAATATGTGATTTTTATAGAAACTCTTTCCATATTGAGGTAGTTAAGACACAAATTTGAATATTTGATAACCTAAAACCATTATAGATATACAGATGTATAGTTACAGTAATGGCAAAACCTTGAAATTTGTGTTGACATGTTCCACATTTGAGCAAACTCAGAAGGCAATGGATAGATGTGTCACATGTGGACAAATAAACATAACTCCTACTGAAGAGGAATATGTCTTTAATATCTTATGTTTCTTCTAACTGTGCATCTGCATTCTTTACAAATGTCCTGTCATGTCATGAGCTGCATGCCCTTCAAGGAGACCATTTTCTAGTGTGTTAACTTTTGATTGGTTATGATCTTCTGGATAACATATTAAAGGTTTATTGTTCTTTTATGATTACATATCATTTCGTGAACAATCATGTAATTTGTAAAGGAGCATTATTTTGCCTAAGACTCTTCTTCAATCTGGCCTTGAATCTATTTGTATATGGAATGGCTCCTTTGCCTGCACCAGATGTTTGGATTCTGTTCTATTTTTTTAATTTTCGTACAAAGTGTTAGAGATGGTTGCAACTATTCTTTTGCATTTGTCTGTTTCTTCACTGACTATTCTAAATTGACAAGGACCTGTGTGCACACTTATAATCTCTTAGTTTTTCTTTTTCCTTGTTATGTTTTGTCCTGAGTTGTTACTTGTTAGTGCCTTTTGATTAATACAAGGTAAACAACCTAAAAAAAGATTAGCATAAGCAAAAATTCTTCACTTTTCTCTACTTATTTGATTCATTAAAATACAATAGTGATTTGCAATTAATATCCTTTTTTTTATCTTTTTCCTCAGATTATAATTGAATTCAATTGCTAGATTCAATCTTTAGAGAAACAAGTTCTCTACAACATTGATGGAATACTTTGGCTTTTGCTTCTTTTCTGATGCTATAATGATATTTTTGTCTTCCCATATGATTAGGGCCTGCAGTTGGGGACATTGACATGAATCGGAATCAGAATCTTGATTATCAATCGGTCAGCCTGAGCAAAATGTACCTAAAATCTATGTCTCTGGAAGGTATCTGCTTGAACTTTTTACCATCAAGAGCATTGCGATCGAACACCTTTAAGAGCGTCTAGCAACTCCACTTTGAGATTGAATAAGTACTCTGTGCTCCAGTTCTTTTGTTTAGAACCCCAGTTTTAGTTATCTGCTGTCTCACACATGACATTACAGAATGCAAATAGCTTCTAGAATGTGGATCTGCCTTCAGTTTTCAAATTAATTTATGAGCTGCATGTTTTTGTAAATCTCAGTAACTTTTCATATGTTTGAACTTAGAACCTTCGCTTGTCAATGAATCTTGCACTTGTATGGTGAAAAAAACCTGTTCATGTACAATAACTTGAACTTGATTGAGAACTGAGCATGGTCTCTCTCTTTTTTCTTTAAAAGTCTTTGTTTTGTAGTTTGAATTGTATTGAATTATAAAACAGGACATTATAGGAGGAGGACCTTTAATATTAAGAAATATGTCCATCAAAGGATTGTTGTGTAGGCTGGTCAGTTTTTTCCTCTTGAAAATCGATCATACGAGTCAAAGCCCAAAGTTTCTGGCCTTCAGAGCTTGGGGGCCTGTTGCTCTAGGCCCATTGAACCTAAAACTTTTATTAAGGGTCGGCTTCCCAAGTCGATTCTCCTCATTAAGATCATGGTAAACACCATGGTCATCTGATTTTTTAATAAAATTGTTTATTGGAGATTGATTCTCAAAAAAAAGGTTGTTTATTGGGAGGTTCTCATAAACAACAGGAACTGGTTAACACACAACGGCATAGCCATAGGCATTACCGGTGAGATGTAAGCACTGTACCTCAGCGAAAAAATCGTTTTGTACAAAATTGAAAAACGCCCCTTTCCACTATTGCTTCCAATTTTCCACATCCTCCTGTAAAACCTTAATCATCGCTGTCAAGACCCTTTGTAATCACCGTAAACCATCTCCCTTGCATTCTATATTGTTGTAATTACCCCTACATAACTGCATCCAAGCAGGATCCCGGGCGGAGTTGCCTGCAGAACTAGTCAACAAGCTGCTGCAACTTTCATGGCAACCTCAATATAAAAATGCCATTGAGGTGACGTTGTTGATTTTAATCGTGCTGAAAGCTCAACACAGAATCTAACTCGGATATTCCTGTCGAATATCTGTTTATTCCTTGTTTTAAGCTATTGGTGTCTCTCATTCTCAGAACATCCGTCGAACACCTTGTCCTCATTTTTATACTATACTTTTCACTATAAAGTGCCGTAGATGTCAAGTTTTGCTCCCCAGAAAGATACACAATTACACATTGACGAATATGGACTACGAAAACTATGACCCTTTTTTCCTGACCAGCCTATGGTCGATCAGTGCTTGCCTATATGGGCTAAGCTGCCTGCCTTCAGGTACAAGCCAGGGTTCATGTGGGTCGAAGATGTCGCCACCAAGGGTTTGACTATCACTTCGACTCTCACCTATGCCCAGCTCAATGATTCAGTGCAGTCCATTTCTTCAAAGCTGCTCGTTCCATTACAGAGAGGTGACACTGTCGTGATTCTGTGCTTCCGGGGTTTGAGCTAGTGGAGATCATTTTTGGGTGTCAAAGAGCTGGTCTTTTGAGCGTGATGGTATTCCCACCTGACACTTCTCTCGGTAATGAAAATTATCACCACCTCGTTAGAGTTCTCACACAGACAAAACCCAGAGCTGCCATTGCCTACCATGGTTACATCTCAAGCGTTAAACAGTACATTTCTTCATCCTCTAAGGACAAGAAGGTAGCGGAGTTGTTGGAAAACCTGAGGTGGATTTCTACTGAAGATATCGAAAGAAAAATGAGTACAGGTTCAAGTTTGAGTTAAATATCGTATAATGGTTGCAAAGAGAGTGAAGTGTACTTGATTCAGTATACTTCAGGGGCAACTGGGATTCCGAAACCAGTACTTGTGACCGCCGGATCAGCTGCTCACAATGTTAGAATGGCGAGGAAGGCATATGATCTGCATCCAAACAGCATAGTTGTGTCCTGGTTGCCTCAATACCATGGTTGTGGCCTTATGTTCCTGCTGCTGATGATTGTCTCTGGTGCAACATGTGTCCTAACGTCCCCTGGTGCTTCGTTGCCCGTCCTAGGTTATGGCTGGAGCTTATTACTGAGTTCAAGGCCACTTGCACTCCGGTTCCATCCTTCACATTGCCACTAGTGGTAAAACGTGGTGGAGTTTAGAAAGGAAGCGACCCTGTGAATTTATGGAGCTTGAGAAACTTAATCATCATCAACAAGCCTATTTACAAGGAAGTTGTTGAAGAATTTGTTAATGTGTTCAAGCAGTTTGGCCTGAACTCGTCTTCAATCTCTCCATCTTATGGCTTAGCAGAGAGTCGCACCTTTGTTTCAACAGCTTGGAGAAACAATACCAACTCTGCTAATATTTTAGTTTTCCTTCTCACAAGAAGCTCATACCAAGTGCAAGGCTTCCTTCAAAAGGAGAAGAAGAAGAAGAAATTCACATTATGGTTGTGAATGAAGATACACACGAGCCTGTTGAGGACGGGATTGAAGTGGAGATTTGAGTGTCATCTCCAAGCAATGCCTCGGGTTACCTAGGCCACCCTTTTTTAACTCTTGAGGTATTTCAAAAGAGACTCAGAAACAATCTCAGTCATTGTTTTGTCCGAACAGGAGACAGAGGAATCATCAAAGGAGAAGAAAGATTTCTCTTCATAACAGGCCGATGTTCAGACATCATCAAGCTTTCAAACAATCAAGAAATACACCCTCATTACATAGAGGCAACAGCTTACAACAGTTGTCCTCAGTTTCTCCGAGGAGCTTGTCTTGCTGGATTCATGACTTCTACAACCATCGTTCTTGTGGCAGAGATGCAAAGAACAGGTGAAGTGGACAAAATTGTGTTGAGAAACGCATGTGAAAGAATAAGACAAGCTGTTCTGGATGAAGAAAAGGTTGAACTAGGATTGGTTGTTCTTGTAAGAAGTGGAAGTGTTCCCAAAACTACTTCAGGGAAAGTGCAGAGATGGGCTGCTAAGCTTAAGTTTGTCCAAGGTAGAATGAGTGCTGTAATGGAGATGAGATTCAAGGAAAGATGTAACCTGTAGTCGTTTGGGGCCAAAATCTATGGAAGTATAGGAAAAGGGAATGGAGGAGATGGAAGAAAAGGGATAGCTGATGGGGCAGGATAGGTGTTCTTTTCCCTCTCAAAGTGATCAAGTAGATGTCCTCCTCCTCTGTCGCTGTTGTGAGAAAAAGATAGGCATCAAAAATCCAAATAGCTCGTGTGGGACTAAATATGGTTTGGAGAAAACAATGGTTGTTTAGATTCTGTAGCAGCCTTTTACTCTTCTAGTTAGAAAGAATAAAGAACAGTTAATGTGGTTTGTCTCTGGTTTTTCTATGAAATCAAAACACACAGTTAATGTAATGCTCATAGATTTTAATGGAATTTGAAGATGTGGGAGGTCCTTGCACAAAAGTTTCTTAGTTTTCTATGTTTCTTTCTCGATCGAAAAAAAAAAAAAGAAGAAGAAGAAGGAAAACTGTGGGTAGAGAATCTAAGTACATGAATGATTTGAATATAAGACTCCAAAGTTTAAGTTTTATTTTCAATCTTAAGATTCCTATAAAGGGTCACCAGAGGAAGGACCATAATTTGAATTTCCACAGTTAAAAGGAAAAGAAAAAAAAGTGGGGCGTGGGGGGGGGGGACAGTTGGGCCAAAATGTGTGTAGAAAATCTACTATTCGCAAGTTTAGTTGAGCCCATGGCAAACGGCACAACAATCAAGAATGCAAAGTCGAATTCACTTCACGTCGTACCCACGGACTTTAAGCCAGAGTGCAATTTAATTTAAAGGCAAAATAAAAGGCTGAAAATGTTTTTGTACAAAAAGGCAATTATTGTTAAATTGGAAAAAAATAATTTTTTAATCTCGTCCACTACCAAGGTGGGAGCACTTACATCAGGCCATCTGTCTCATTTAAAGTCCTGATTTTACAATTTTGTACCATTTAAACGGCGAAACAAATAACCATAAAACATAATGTATTGCTTTCAGGAAATGATGAATAGCCAGAAACAGAGCAGAGGGTGAGTGCGACGTGAGAAGAGACATAAATGAAGCAGAAATGGCAAATGGGTGTCTCTGAGCTCAGGATCTCAATTTGTGCAAAAATTTTTTTGAGAGATGATGTGATGGAAACAAATTGAACAAAAACATGTTGATGATGATAATAAAGGTTTGAGCAAAACGCTATTGGCGCCTGCACTGTAAACAAATTCAGCAGAAAAAAAATGAAAAAGTTAGAAAAACAAGGAAATCAAGTAGCAGAGTACAGTAACAAGTAAAGGCACTCGATTGCAGGAAGGAAAGGTGTGAAGACATTGCTTGGAGGGCAAACGTGGGTGCCTGCCACTACCACTGCCACAGGCCCAGACTGCAGCACAACCCTGCGCATTAGCCAGCCTCGTTCAGATTCCCATTCACTATGTATGTATGTTATTGCTTTGCATCACAGGATTCACGACAGCACCTTCTCCACTGTGGACAATCTCCAAATAAAATACAAATTTACATAGATTTTATTTATTTTATTGTTGTTGGTTTAGGTATGTTAAATTGAAAATTTTTCTAGTTCCGACTTTCCATAATTTGCTTTTGACATCACGTACGAAATAATAAAAAGGTCATGTCCTGAAAATTGAAAAAAAAAAACATATTAAAGTTGTCAGAAGCAATAGTTACTTTGACTATTTTTGCATATAAAATTTGCATAATATTTTTAAAGTGTAATATATATTAGTCATAATAGAAAAAGATAAAATTTCAACTTTATTTAAAAATTAAAGTTTTAATTTAAAATTTAAAAATATACTATGTTAAATAGGATTATATTTATATTTAAAAATTAATTATATATTTTTAAGAAGAAAGTGTATATTAATTTTAATTTTTAAAATAAATTAAAATTTTAACTTTAATTTTATTATATTA